AGTCTATACAGGAAAAAACAAGTGAAGACTGTGGCTGGTCAGTTCTACATCTGGGGGTGCACAGGTACACCCAGTTATCCTTCACTGGGGGGACAAGTTGCCAGCTGTCATGTCTTATGAACAGAGAAATACAACTGGGATGGCTGTTTAATGCTGGGAGAGACACTTTAGGTGAGCCGATCTTTATAAGTCAGGGGAATGTCTTGTTAGTTAAGTTTAGGCTCTACAAATCATATATAAATGTAACTGTTTCCCATTAATTCTACTTGCTTCTTCTCAAATCTCTGCTCTTTATTCAATAAACTTTTACTTGTTTTCACTATAAACACATCGAAGTGCTGTGAGTGGGGCGAAGTGCTGCTCCTGAGGTGAAACTGGTCAGCTGGTGTGTAGTGTCCCATTGGGGAATAGCAGATCTCTGAAGTCTGAGTGTCCAGTGGAACAGGAGCTGGACACTCCAGGGGCATGCTCGGAGGACTTGGGGGCTGGAGTGTGCTTATCCCTGCAGAGGGACAGCAGAACCTGTGCATGCTGAGAGGGGAGTGCTTGTGTTGCCTGGGGCTGGTGTAGTCAGGGAGCTGATCCCTGGCAGGCCTAGACAAGGCTTCCTCATGCAGGTAGTAGCAAGGTTCCTCACAACTCTGGGGACCCTTGGGAAGCATCACACATTGTCACCCATCCCAATTCCTCACCCCTCTTCATTCTAAATCAGGCTGCTTTCCTCCTCCTCCTCCTCGCTGCCAACCAAGGAGCAGGGTAGAGGAAACACAGAGCACAGGAGAGACGGTCTTGCTGCTATCAGTTCTGAGCGACAGTAGCCTAGAGCAGCAATTGCAGATAAAGTCCTGCTCATTCCCTGAAGTCCCGAGATGGAGCCTGCTCAGTTGCTCTGTGCAGATGGTACACATACAGACTGATATACATAGCAAAGGACATGAGCATGCTCGGTGCAGATGGAATCTTCAGAGAATTTAGCTGCTAGACTAACAAGGGGACCAACATGGCTACAAAAACACTGCATACAAGCCTCTACTGAGCATGTATGAACTATTTCTCTCCCCTCCCCCCATCCCCAAGGTTCAGAATTTGGCCAAATCCAAGTAATTTTTCACAGGAAGAGCAAAAGGCATGCCTCGGACAATAGGGCAACCCCAAAGCCAAATTTCAAGTCCCTGCTAGAAAGCTTGGCGGTGGCAGAGTTTAAAAAATTCGTACAACCAATTTGTTAACAAGGACAAAACTATGTTTTGCCTAATCTCATTCTCAGAATGGCTGAACCATTTTTGCTGAAAAAATAAAAAATCAGCCTCAGATAGACACCCAGTAGGAAAAATTTCAGTCTGAATGATTAAAGTTACGTGACATTATAAGCAAATGAAAACAGTTAATATAATGGGAAGTGTAGGGCAAACTGTGTGTTGCTAATTGTGCCACTCATAATAATAACCAACATCATAAGAGTGCTGAGAGCTAATTAATGTCTGTAATTAATTTTAAAATGTAAACACTATTCAAGTACTAAGTATTATTAGTATTTGGCAACTCAGGCCCAATCCTACAAACATTTATGCATGTTCTATATGTAAGTAGTCTAGTTGAAGTCAATGAGATTACTTGTATGAATAACATTAAGCACGTGTGTTTGCAAGATGGGAGCCCAAATTATCTAGACCACAAATTCTTTTTGCAGGTGCCTTCTTTTATATGTGTTTGATTATATGATGGGATTGCCTGCAATAGAAGGGGACTGAACTCGATGACCCAGGAGATCCCTTCCAGGCCTACGTGAAACATCCAATATACTTCTACCACTATGCAAATAAATAAAACCACCTGCATCCTACAATCATATTTGGCTATCACTACATGGTAACAGATCAACAAAACTGTACTCTGATGACAACTGATCCAAAAGTAAATCTGTTCAGACCATTTTCATCCAACTACAGGCATTTTGTTTGTTTTTCAAATCAGTAAAGGTTTCTATAAAACAAAAAACATTTACTAGTTAAATAATCCAAGTGGTTACAGAACTATCAACGTGTAATGGGCTTAAATACTTTGGTTTAATTCCAGTTGTTGGGTTTAGTGAGCAGGTGCTGGGTTGTGTCAGTGGCCTGTGATAAACAGGTAGTCTGACTAAATGATCTGGTGGTCCCTTCTGGCCTTAAACTCTATGACTCTATAAAAAGTACTCATTCCGAGTTGTACACCCAGTCTCTCTTCTTGTTCCTCTGGAAGGTAATACTGTTTGGTTTCATTTCAACTTCCCTCTTTGTACAGAAGGGAGACCATTATTGTATCTCTTGGGATATCCTTGGGGTATATATACACATCTGCAATTAAGGGGTCTCCTAACATTACTACATCACTGCAGCTGAACCTGAGCCCAACTCTCTACTTCCCCCCCTACATCCAACTCTCAAAGACAACCTGAAAAGTTTCAATTAGTCTAACCATATAAGATAGCTAAGATTAATAGCACCAAGGTAAGAGGCAAGTCTCCCAACTGGAAAACATCTCCAAATAAATTCCCAAATAAGTTTTCTATCAAGATCAATCATATATGCCATCTTTCTTCTTGTATATAGTTATTCATTGTGTAAGGTACTGAGGCTATCGCAGTCAGTACTCCTATCGCTGATGAGAATATTTGAATCTGGTTGGGCTGCGGCTACGGTACATCTTCAAGACAGAGTCATGGTCAGATGTTGGTCACATCTGAACTGGAACCAGAAAATAGGCTCTTCCTGATTTTGGATTGGACCTAGACATTAAATCGTAAACAATTATGCAGATCTATGGATTTATTAATATAAATAAAATAAATTAACAGGTGGTTTGGAATTGAAGCTCTGGTTTGGGTCCATCTCTAATTATAAACTTAAATAAAAGTAGTTTCCTTGTATCCATAGAATGCTTTCAGACATTTTGTTTTGGAACTTTGGGATCTGTTGTCGACAAATCACAGGGGATCAGACCAGTGACTCATCTTGTCCAGTCTCCTATCTCAGCCAGTGGCCAGTACCAAAAGCTTCAGAGGAAGGTACAAGAAGCTTCACAATGGACAATGATGGAATAGTTTGCTTCCAGGTGAAGTTTCTTCCTAACTTCTGTCAGTTATTCATTGTCTTCTGGCCTGAGACATGAAAGTTTACAGCCCTATTTTTTTAAATCTGTCCACTGTAACAGATGTTCTCATTAGCCATATCAATCTGTGTAATCCTTTTTTGAACACTATTAAGCTCTCAGCCTCAATGACACATAAGGTAACTTAAGACAGGGTTTTTCATCATACTAGGAATTATCGTGTGACTAAGAAATGAAACTGGCCCCTCAGTTTACAAGCTTCCTTTGGGTTGGCTCACATTTATTTGTAGTTTTCAAGAAAACAGAAGGAGCAAGGCAAATCCTGGACAGCAAGTGGCTAAAACAAAGCCATTTGATTCAATTTATAATGGGAATCTTGATATCTATCCTTGTGGCCATTAGCCCAGGGGATTTTCTGGCACTAGCAGAACGAAGAGACCTATTTACTTGAAAAGCTGCAGCTCTCCCCATGCCATATTGCCAAAGTTAAGATCAGGACTCAGAGAGGTGGTTTTGTACACTTAAAACAGGCCTGTAAACTCCTTATTTTAAGTCTCTTCGTTTGAGAAAGCAAAAGTATTTGAAAGACAACAATTATACACTATTGTGGTAACAGTGTACAACAACAAACTCCGAAAGTTAAAAATGCTGTTTATCCTTTCCTGTTATTATAGCTTAGCGTCAACAAGGAGGGCTTTTTCCCCCAGAAAGAAAATGTATTGCTTGTTATTCTCTTCTCCAGAGAATCCACATCATTGGCACTTCAGAGAAAAGAACAGACAATTCATTAGATAGTGATAGCTCAAGGTAAAGCGCCAATTAAAAACTTAACCTCAGTAAGTTTTGCTCATTTGCACAGGATTAAGTTGATGGCCAAAAGTGGGGTACAGGAAGAAATTTTCCTTATGACATATTGTTGAAGATATAGCACAGATTTTTCCATGTGCTGGAGTGCTCATTAGGGACTGTTCTTTAACACCTGGGTGGGTGTTTCCCACACTATTATATACAATTGCAAGGATGTGGAAGTGTTGGACGATGTTGCTTTCCGTCCTCTATGTCCATGGTTCTGAGTTTCCACTGTAGCCTCAGTGAGACTGACATGCACTGGCAATAAAACCAGTGTAGTGGCATGAAGAATTAGTGCCCACCTCTTTTGAGACCATGCTACACAGACAGTCAAAATGCCATATAACTTTATTTTTAGCCTCAGTTTATGTGCATGTAAAATTGTCATGCACATATCTACACACATAATTCGCAGGTGTAAACACCAACACTCCTGATTGAACAGTTCTGTCACCTACACGAGAGTTAGATTTTGCACCCATAAAACCCACATGTATTTGCACAAAGTACAGGCATATGTCTCTAGTTCCACAGTTTTGCATACACAGATGTGGAGGCCCGGCAGAAAACTCAAACAGGGTATTTAATACGTAATGATAATAGTTAATATGACTACAAACAAATATTTGTTCTTACACAGCATTCATTCTTCCTCTATTGTCTTCAAGGCAGACTTGTTACCTTATTGAAAAGGAGCAAAATTTTGCTTCTGTTAAGAATGTGTAGCCAGTTCACGTACAGAAGAAAGAGATGGATTCAGTTTCAGCATCAACTTTTACCACCAACAAAACTCTCAGGTTTTGAATATGGAATCTGTATAAGTGCCCCTTAGTCAGGATGAAGTACTTACACTCTGCCCATTTGGAAATGGGGGGCAGAGAGGAGGGGGTTTGCCACAAGGCGCTGGATATCTTCAATACCCTTTCGTGAAGGGGAAGGGCCACCCTAGGAGGGGCTGTGGAGGAGAGGACATCAAACAGAGTCCTCTTGCTCCTCCAACTCCTCCGCCTGCAGGCCAAGGTTGGACGCGACCCTCTTCAACAGCTCCTAGTGCACCTTACTGTCAACCTGAGGAACCGGGTTAGGGGGCTCCATGATGGCCTCATCCGGTGATGACGAGGAGGAGGCCTGTACCACGGGTTCCATGGCACCCATTGTTGGTCCAGCAGGCTGTTTCCCTTGGTCCACATGGACTTGTGGGGTCCTATCCCCTGGGGCCTCAAGCACCAGACAGAGTTGGGTCATCGAGGCCACCGGCCCGTCCGAGGCTCCTGACACTGAATGGGCAGGCTGGGTGAACCCCCACAGATTGCAGGGGCACCACTGTGCCTGGGGCAGGTTTTGGAACCGACGATGCAGGTGGCAACGAGGGCCTGGGAGGCTGCCCTGCCAACATGGAACCTTGCTCCATACTGGAGCAACTGCTACCCAGTGACCAGGATCCACTGGAGTGGCAACTCGTGCCTGATGATAATCACGATCATGCCTAGAGGACGACTGGTCCGAGCAGGATGTGCGCCTCAGTAGGGACCTCAGTGACTGGCAGCACTAGGTGGATCCACGATGGAAGACTGGTGACCTACGTCTCACGCTTCGAAACCAGTACCAGGACGAGGAGCAGGATCTGGAGGTATCACGGGCCGGGCACCAGGGGAATGTCCCCGAGTACGGTGACACCCGTCTTGTTGGCAGGGCCTGCAGCTCCCGTCTTCCAATTGTTCCCGGGATCTGTAATGGCATTCCAGCGATGGGAAAGGCCGGTCCCAACATTCCTGCTGGGGAGCGTGTGCCTCCATAGGTCTGCGCCAGGTAACCGGCGAGGTCCGCCTCGAATCCTGCTGCCGGTGCCCAGGGTCCAGTGACCGTAGAGGACTCCTATGCGTCTGCCTCCCTAACTATGAGGCATGACGCCTTCGAGAGGGTGAAGGGATCACTCATGGGCACGGACCGTTTGCAGCGATCACGGGGCTTAAAGCCTGGAGACCGGGGCATGCCCCATCCTCCAGCTGAGTCCCCAGTGGGACTAACAAAACTCTAACGACTGCTAAGGGCTAACTAACTCAACTACTATGTACACTAACTTTACAAGAACTCTAGTTCATAACAATGAAGCCTAAGAAACGCTAGTAAGAGCAGCGAACGTTTCGTGCACTGTCACTGGTGGCAAAAAGGAACTGAGGGTGCGGGGGGAGCCGGCGGCACCCCTTATACTGTGCCTGCAGGCGTCACTCCAGGGGGCACCAGAGCCACTCCCGTAGGGATACTGCTGAGGGAAAAACTTCTGGCACTGGTGCATGTGGCGAGCACATACACCTAATGTGGAATGGACATGAGCAAGTACTCAAAAAAGAAACCATCTTTTCACATGCCACATGGAAATGTCAGAATAATCCTTTTTTTTATTATTTGCAAACAGTACATTTTAGCAGGAAGCCATAGATAGAGAATCATAGAATCACAGAACTGGAAGGGACCTTGAGAGGTCATCTAGTCTAGTCCACTGCACTGAAGGCTGGGCTAAGTATTATCTAGACCATCCGTGACAGGTGTTTGTCCAACCTGCTCTTAAAAATCCCCAATGATGGAGATTCCACAACCTCCGTAGGCAATTAATTCCAGTGCTTAACCACTCTGACAGTTAGTAAGTTTTTCCTAATGTCCAACCTAAACCGCCCTGCTGCAATTTAAGTCTATTGCTTCTTGTCCTATCCTCAGAGAAGCAATATGGAAACCCATAATGTCTTCAGTATACTCAACTTTCTGATTATAACTGCACTGTACTGAGATATAAGAACTTAAGAATGGCCCTACTGGGTCACACCAAAGGTCCATCTAGCCCAGTATCCTGTCTTCCCACCGTTGGCCATTGCCAGATGTTTCAGAGGACATGAACATAATCATCAAGTGATCCATCATCAAGACATATCATAAATTAATAAACTGGAATAAAGGCACAGCGGCCTGGTCATTTGAACTTGGTAGCATTTTTCCTTCATTTCATTTTAGTTTGTGTTCACTATTACCACACAAACAGCACTCTGAAAACACCTTTGGGTTTTACAGTAAGATGACAGAATCTTTGCAGTGTGGTTATGCCCGGAAGACAGAGACCATGAATGACATATCAGTGGACTATGTTTACCCTTGGTTACTTTTCTGCCACATTTTCTCAGTTGACAGCATGGTAAGGTCAGTCTGCTGTCTGAGGTGCTCAGATTATGGCGATGAGGGTCAGATAAGCACCAAAAATAGACAGATAGAAAATACACCACCAGGTTTTCTATCTTATACATTCTGCAAAACTTAACCTGCAACATTTTTTGCTGCATAAAGCAGAATAAATGCAGCTTCAGGGACACTTCTAAGTCCGATTTTTGGGTGGAAAACTGTAATTTGCTTTAGTTATAGGTACTAATTAATTATATGCACTTTTGAAATTATCCTCATTACTTTGCTATGGCTGTCAAGCTGTTCAATGAAGTGCTGATCCTAAAAGTGCTTTAGAGCCCTTGTTGAAATGTGCACTATACAGACTCTACACATATCCCTTATGTGGGTAGAGAAATTCAGAGGAAGTAACAGCAGTGAGTGTTGCATAAAACTGGGATGATGATGAATTTACTTTAATACTATTTCTTCATTTTTCCAAGTTGGGTCAGCGCCCTAGGTGCTTGGAAAGCCTCAATCCTCTACTGTGGTTATCCCCCACCCATCAATAAACTAAGCAGATATAACTCAGAAGACACACTGTACCAAACAGGGAGCAGACATAGGCAATAACAAGATACTATATTTTTTCAGTCACTCTCTTGACTCTTATCTAGGCTTAAAAAGCACACACCCTAGCCTTTTGTTTCTTGCAAAACACACACAAGAGGAGTCTGACTCCTTAAAGTCCTACACTGACATGGCCGTCGTCACAAACTTCTCTCAACAGGACTGTCACTTATGGGACAAACTAGAGAACCGTAAGCTAGAGCTGAGGCAGAAGACAGGCGGTAACCAGGGCTCCAGTCAATGTCTCCTCTAGAGATTAGCAAAACGAAGCAATTTGGAATTCATAACATGCTTTAACAAAACAATATTACCTTCATATTGCGTTGCACATGCACTCTAAGCTCAGGCTGGCTGTGTGACAAGGGCTGTTTCCTGTTTGAGTGCTGTCTTCTGTTTATCTTTGTCCCGTGTCAGGGATGTCTCTGCTTTTTGGCATCTTATGCATTCTCCTTTGTTCATAGTTAGCTTCATGTTTTTATATTTAAAAGATACTTGCGTCATATTCTTGCCTACTAGTTTGGAGTCAGTTCAACTTCAACGAGGCTTTATTGGTGTAACAAGTGGTGTAAGTGTTGCCAAAGTGTGAGAAAGAGACGGATCCTTCAGGAATCTGTAAGAGGCAGGCATGACCCATCTGGGACAGACTTTTAGCTGCTGTAAATCTGCAGAGCTCCACTGACTTCAAAGGGGCTACGTTATTTTACATCCGTTAAGGATCTGTCCCCATTACTCTGAATTAGAGAGAGAGATCCAAATACCTCAGAACTTTGGGGAAGTTCGTATCCATACCTAAACTTAGCAGCTCATCCTATTCGTATAATGGGCTGGACCAAAACAATGGACTCAAACATCCTGTATTCAAATTTTAGCTCAGGCCCATTTCAATTTTGAATTGGGCATGCTTACAAGGGATCTTTAGCCAGGTGTGTTACTTAGTTCCAATGTACACTGTGGGAGATGGTATTCATAAAATGTTGTTGAAAGACCTGAGAGTTATCCTCTTCAAATGGACTCCAAGAGCACAAATTGTCTTCTAGAGAAATGCTTATGCTCCTGCCTAAAATTACTACCCCCTCTGTGAGACCGAATTACTCTGTGTTGCCCTACAGCCCTTCTCCCTTTTATTAACTGTACTTTCAAACTGGTGAAGTATACACACTACACTGATTTTCTAAAGGTGAAAAAGGCTGTCTTCTACAAACATGCAGGAACACTCTCCACCTGTGGAACTTATTGCCGCAATATATTCCTGCCAGCCACATTTCAGACATGAATGAATCTAGACTGTTCTCAGTGGTAGCAGATGACAGAAAAAGGAGAAATGGTATCAAGTTGCAGTGGGGGAGGTTTAGGTTGGATATTAGGAAAAAACTTTTTCACTAGGAGGGTGGTGAAGCACTGGAATGGGTTACCTAGGGAGGTGGTGGAATCTCCTTCCTTAGAAGTTTGTAAGGTCAGGCTTGACAAAGCCCTGGCTGGGATGATTTAGTTGGGGTTGGTCCTGCTTTGAGCAGGGGGTTGGACTAGATGACCTGCTGAGGTCCCTTCCAACCCTGATATTCTATGGTTCTAGCTACTAGGCTAGTACTTTTTAGAGGCAGGGAAGCAAGCTGGAGACTCAAGGATGGATCCTCAGCTGATGTAAATAGTCATTGCTCCATTGAAGCCAATGAAGTGATGACAATTTACATCAACAGAGCATCTGACCCTCAGTCTGGCAGGGTAACTACGATGGTTTAACTTATACACTATGGAGCAGGAAGAAAGGAATAAGGCAGGAAGAGCAATTAACAGGAGGCTTTAAGAAGTTGTAAGTTAAAGTGCCCATTTTAATTTACACATTCCTCAAGTACATTAGGCATGCTAATTTACACTGCTTTACATATGGTTGCCAACCCTCCTGGATTGGCCAGGAGTCTTCCGGAATCGGAATCTATCTCCTGTTGGCTACTGAAACCAATCTGGGAGATTTTAATAGGCAGCTAAAAGTCCAGTCAGCAGTGCAACAGGGTGAAAGTAGGCTCCCTACCAGCCCTGGCTCCATGCGGCTCCCGGAAGCAACTGGCATGTCCCTCTGGCTCCTAGGTACAGGGACAGCCAGGGGGTCTCTTTGTGCTGCTCCCACCCCGAGCGCCGACTCCGCAGCTCCCACTGGCTGGGAAACGCTGCCAATGGGAGCTACAGGGGTGGTGCCTGCAGGCAGGGGCAGCACGCAGAGCCCTCTGGCCATCCCTGAGCTTAGGAGCCGGACATGCCAGTTGTTTCCAGGAGCTGCCTGAGGTAAGTGCAGCCCAGCTGGAGCCCGTACCCCTCTCCCCCTCCGGCACCCCAACCCCCTGCCCCAGCCCTGAGCCCCCTCCCACACCCAAACTCCCTCC